GAGCCCCGCTCCTCCTGCCTGCACAAACCAGGCTGAACAGCTGCTGTCTTGCAGGGCGCCTGAAAACGAAAGGGCCTCGTCTGGCTCGGATGGCAGAGGCCGTGTGTTTGGCGCAGCAGCTTCAGCCGAGGATTAGGAGCTACCACCGTGTGCACAGGTGTGTGTCTTTACCCGACCTGACGGCTTGACCTTCGTGCAACGCTTGTGCCTGGCCCCAGCCCCCTTCAGAACAAAGGCTTCTCCAAAAGGCTGCTTTGCAAGCCCACAAAACTGTTTGCTTTTCTTAACAAACCCAATTTATTCTGTCATCTCCCCTCTGTAATCTAACACCGTCACTCTTAATGCAGGAGTTCCCATTAGTGTGCTGGACTAGAGAGAAAGAGGGGGGAAAAAAAAAAGTGAAAAACCTCTTTCCAACCACTGCTATGGGCAAAAAAAAAAAAAAAAAAAAAAAAAAAAAAAAAAAAAAAGGTGAAAACTAGCTGAAGATCAAATGAGGCAAGTAGGCAGCCCAGCCTTTGACTGTGCCACCTGTGGTACCTAGGAAGAAAAAAGGGCAAAGCAAGCCAGCGCTCTTATTAGCATTGGCACCGGGAGAGGTCTTGGCTGCGGGTTCAGCTGCGCTGTGCACAGCGCAGAAAGAGCAGCACAGAGGCCGTTTGCCCTGCTTCATGTGAAACAAGCCTCTCCTCCCGTTTCTTGGGCTGAGTTTCTGCATGGTTGCATAGGTTGGGGTTATCATTTGAGCAAGCGGTCAGGCTGCACAATCAAGACTTCCAGCCACAGGCATCGTGAAAGTCACATAGCTGGTACTTCCCACTGCCGCTCCTGTCGCTGGTGGCATTTTCCTGAGGATGCGCCACGCTGGTGCAGCTCCCGGCCACCAGAAGAGCCAAGCTGGACAGGGGGCCCCAGCAAACAAAGCCGTACATGCCTCCTTGCTACAGTCTGTGTCCCAAGTCACCTGTGCCAGCTCCGCTCCCTGCAAGCCTCTGCGCCCGCGGGTGCGCTGGAGGCACGCTCACGCTCTCGCTGCACTCACTGGCGCGCTCTGACGTTCTGTACGCACCCAGCGAGGCAGCGTTAACAGAGGCGCGCTGGCTGGGCTGCTGACTGGCCAGACTTGGGGGGGCTGGTTTCTAAATAAGCAGTCAAAAATCTGCTTCTAAAGCAGATGAGATTTTTGTTCTTGTTTCCTGCAAACAGAAGAACAACCTCAAGGTGCAGTTTGGCCCCTGGGGCTGACCAGCTGGGGATTTGGTAGCACCCAGGTGTCTCTGCCATCACATCCTCATTGACTCCAGTTAATGGATTAATTAACCTTGCAACAGCCTGACCCCCAGCCAGCCCCTTTCTAGATGCTGCCTTGGGCTTCCCCATCCATGGAGACGAGCTGCTGCTGCAGGCTTTTGAGGCTGGGCTACCACATTCCCTGACCACTGATGGTGGTGCTGGGGGCTCCCTTGGGTGGCACAGGGTCCCTGGCCCCAGGGGCACAGAGGCAGGGACCAACACAATCTCCTCCCTCCCATGGAGATTGATGGGTTCTGCCATTTCCCTCATCTGCATAATTAGGGGTGGGGGAAGTGAGCAGCTAATTACAGCCTGGAGATGACTCTGGTCTTCAAAGTTTCCAGGTTCTTTCCACATAGCTCCTAGTCAGCCCTGTCCTTGGGTGTGGATTTATGATGAAGGAGTAGTACTTCTCCAGCACCTACCACAGCAGAGGGACCTTGCTTTTGCCTTGTTGCTGTCATGGGGCAGAGCTCCTTACCTGAAGAGCAATTCTGCTGCAGATTGACAGCTCAAAGTTGTTTCATTCTGGTAAGTCCTACTGGCTTGCATTGGGTGCTGGGAGTGGTTTTGCAAAAGCAAAGCTGTCTGGTTTCACTTGCAGTCAGGCCTCCCCAAGAGAAGGGCTAACATGCTAGAGGAGATGCCTATGGTAGTTGTTCCTTGCAAGGCTGAGTTTGGTGTGTGTCTTTGCAGGGCTGGTTAGCCAGCCCAGTTTGCTGCTGCGGTGTATCTGAGCTATGTTGGGTTTTCTGATATCAGAGTGGCCCCCTTCTAAACAAGGGGATTTCCTGTTTAAAACAATATACAGTGGTTTGTGTATTGGGGGTTCCAGTCCCTCGGGAAGGTTGCAGCTGGTAATGCTGATGGCTCTTCTGATTCACGTCTTGTGCTAGCTGGTTTTTGTTCCTCTAGTTTTGGTTCCTAGAAATAATTATGTT